GGCAGTGTGGGAATGCGGTCAGGAAGGCCAACCGCACCTTGTCATGCATCCACAGATGCATCTCAAGCAGGTCCAAGGAGGTGATCCTCCCCCTCTATGCGGCACTGGTCAGGCCGTAGCTGGAGTACTGTGTCCAGTTCTGGGCACTGCACTTCAAGAGGGATGTGGACAACATGGAGAGGGTCCAGAGGAGAGCCATTTGCATGATCGGGGGCAGCAGCGCAGGCCCTATGAGGAGAGGCTACGGGACCTGAACCTGTTCAGCCTCCACAAGAGAAGGCTGAGGGGGGATCTAGTGGCCATTTACAAACTAGTCAGGGGGGACCAGCAGGCACTGGGGAAGTCCCTGTTCCCCCAAGCACTACCAGGAGTGACTAGAAATAACGGTCACAAGCTGGCAGAGCGTAAATTCAGATTAGACATCAGGAGGCGCTACTTCACGTTCAGGGTGGGTAGGATCTGGAACCAACTTCCAAGAGAAGTGGTGCTGGCTCCTACCCTGGGGGTCTTCAAGACAAGGCTAGACAATCACCTTGCTGGGGTCATTTGACCCCAGTACTCTTTCCTGCCATGGCAGGGGGTCGGACTTGATGATCTGCTCAGGTCCCTTCCGACCCTACTAACTATGAAACTATGAAATGTTCATCTACCTAAAAAAATATACTGACCTTTGGGGAAGTCTTGTTCCAGGTCTTGAAGTTTCTCAGCCCCATCAGTGTTACAAAATTGGAAGCAACGGCAATAAAATCACAGGGCAATAGCACTGAGTCCTCACTCAGTACACTGCAGTTGTATGTTGACTGTCTTATTCTTAGTGGAAGAGCACTGGATAATCTGTATTGCACTGGCACTGTTTTCACAATTTATTTGTGTATTGTCCATGTAAGGGCATTTTTTTTAGTCAATTGCTGTGGAGATGACAGTGAATTGTACTGAAGAATCACAAAATTAGATAGTATTAGAAAAGCACCTAGTGACCTCAACCCAGATTAGATCTCAGTTGTGTAAGGTGCTAGATATACAATTAATAAGAAGCAGTCCCTGCAGTCTGAACAGACAAGGGGAATAATAATAAAGTTGCGAAGGGAAACAGAGGCAAAGTGACTTGCCAAGGTCATACAATATCTATGGCAAAGCCAGGAAGTGAGTTTAGCTCTCCTGAGTCCTGAACTAGAACATGAGGCACAAAATCCTTTCAGAAACAAAGAACCCAGTTCCCCTCCTGTTTTTCCCCAGTAATCAGTGACAAGGAGCGCCGCCAGAGAACAGGTGACGAGCATGGGCAGATGGCTGCTCGGAGCTGCTGGAATGACTCATCAGAAATAGAAATAAAACTGCCATTAGCAAGGGGTTTTCCTCATGGGACTGTTTTCATAACAGGGATTAAAATGTTTAGAAAAAGGACAAGGAAATCTCTCCCAGTGTAGGGTCCGGTCTAACCTGAGGAGCCCTGAGAAAGAAGCCTTCCCTTTCTCAGATAAATTCTCCCTCCTCCCTCTTCCAAGCAGTCAGTACATAGTCCTTCCCCTGACAAGCGCAGGGGCGTGTAATGGAGAGTGACCCTGGGTTCGTGAGGCACCAGGTATTGATCCTTCATCTTCTCACAGGTCGGCTTCAAAGCTTTCCCATGGGATTTTGATTGGGCTGTAAATGAAGAGGGACAGATTTTCGGCTCAGTGTAAATCAGAGTAGCTCCACTGAAGTCAATAGAGCTCCACTGACTGCCTTCACACAGGGGGCTGGGCCCAGAATGTCTCAAAAGCAAATGCCACCACCTCCTTCTAAACCTAGCATTTCCCTTTTTCTCTTTAAATGACAGCCCTTCATGACAGACAGCTCTGGAGCCCAGAAGGACACACGAGGGTCTGGATGCTGAGTCCAGTCTGTCCCTGAAGTTCAGCAAGACGTGAGAGGTACAGTATGGTTCAGGTCTGAGTTTTGAACTATTCCTTCAGAAACAGCAGGAGAGGAGAGAGAGAATACTTGCAACCCCACCTGCTTTGCTTGTGTGGTATAGAGGAAAGCAGTACAGGAGTTGTAGGGGAAGCCACATAAAAATGGAGCTGAAAAGTGTGCGTCAATCATGATCCTCCCTTCATCTAGCTGTGGAGCTATGTAAATCACCAGCTACTAAAATAAAGTTATGAAGTATAATAAAAAAATTGCTATAGCAACTCCATGCCTCTGTGCTGACCTAGTTTGAGACAAAGGAAGTGCTCCTCAGCATCTGAATGCATGAGGCTGCAGTCTGCTGGAAGGCAAGTTGTGCTGATTGATTACAATGTTGTTTTATTAGCTCCAACCAACACTATAGATCAGCCTTGTCCAACATCCGGTCTGTGGGCTGCCACGCGGCCTGCCAAGCCATTTTCTGAGGCCCACGGTGCTGCGACGGGAAACGGAAGTAAACACTGTTTACTTTCATTCCCACCCCTTGTCCCTCCCCCAGCCCCTCAGCAGCTTCCTAATGGCTGCTGAAGGGCTGGGGAAGGAACAAGGTTCCCACACGCACCACATCAGACAC